CTCTCTCTCTCTCAAGCGAAGCCCGACACGCCGAACGTCGAACCGAACAGATCAAACGTGACCGAACCGAATGCGGGGGCGGCCGGCCCGAACCAAATGAACGGCCCGATAGAGCTCTCGGGAATAGGTAGATTCTCGAAAGCTCTATCGGGCCGAACCCGGAAAACCGGCCACATTCGAACGGCCGTCGGCCCTCCCCCGTCCCAAAAACACCGCCCCCGACCCGAAAATTGGCCGCATTCAAATAAACAAAATCGCTCCCCGAAAAAAAAAAAACGCGCCCCGCCGCACCGCCTTACGGCTCGGGCCCCCCCAAACGATTCGGCTGATCTCAGTTGGGCCGCCTACCGGTCCCACAAACTTTCCCAACAGTGGAGAGCGGGTTCTCGCGGGAGCGTTACGCGAGGACCGCTATTTGCTTAAAGAGTGTTATGGATATATATATTGTCACATCACTACAAACTAAAAGAGCGCACTTTGCGGAACAAAGAATAAAAGCAAAAAACGGGCACAGTGATAACATGCAAAAATAAAAAGAAAAAGAAAAAACAAGGGCAGATTGAAACCATTAAATTTCTCATTCTTCTTTAGTCACAATATATATATATATATATATATTCACATAGAACTGACCGGTAAACTGTAGGCAGAGAGGAAGAAGAGGAGAACAAACGAGGAGCAGTGACAGACTGTTTCATTGGAGTTTCACCGAGTCATCAGGAGGGTACTGAAAAGGATCCTCCAGGTTAACGAGACTGCAAACTGGTTGAAATAACACATAAATCATTTCAAGTGTCAACTTCTAATGCCTTTCTAGCAGAAACAAACGGATTATCAGAAAGGAAACAAACACAAACAAAAGAACAAAAGCATTAGCATACTGACTACTCACTTCCGAAAAAGGCCACTCCTTCAAGGAGATAGGAAAGTTTCAATGACACATCTCAAGAGTGAACAAATCCTCATACCTGATAGGTAGCCTGTGTTGTCGCTGCCAAGCCAATTGACGAATAAATGGAGACAGGCTGTTTCGTCGGACTTTCACCGACTCATCAGGAGGTTTTACCTCGACAGCTAAACCTGAAATGGCCTAAATGACCTGACCCCAGGGCACAAGCCATGTTACGGCCAAGTTGCTAACAAACCCTGTACTTAAGGCAAGCCCACCTTCGGCCCTAATCCGGGCCACACGGATTACATAAGCAGCCATATAAAGAGCATTGCTGGAAGACGGAGTGTGAGTGGGCTCTCAGCCTCTCACACCTGCATCTGGAGTGCGGGAGACGCATCAAAAAGAAGTTGTCTAAAACAGACAACACATGTGAGCAGAGGACTGAAAGAGAAGAGAGGCAAGAGGAAAGAGGTGATGACGCAAAAAGAAAGGACCGAGAGGTCACAGACTGCTGTGCAAACCCATCAGTGCCCAGGCCAATTTGATGGGAGATATGTGCGTGCTTGTATCTGCTAAAAATAAAGGAGAAGGGTAACTGTGCCATACCGCTTTGTTGGCCTTTCAACGACTTGTCAAGAGGTTAAACCAATGCTCTGCCCACGATGCACTTAACTGATGGATAAACACTCACCACCACCTTGCCCGAAGTTAGCGATACGCTTGAGAAAAGTGGCCGACTTTACTCGCAGCAACCCTACAACCCTAGCAGATTGTCTAGTTCAGGCCCCTAAACAATAACGGTAGTCATACCGGGAAACTAGTCAATCACAGCAATAACACCCACTTTACTCACCCAATCAGCCAGGGACATAAGTCTGTGTATATGC